TGCACAAATTTAAGCTTTTAAGGGCGCTACTGTAGTCTGGATATCTCGTTGGTCAAAGGTCGCCTACATAAACCACTTGGAGTCGAATTAACCACTCAAAAAGTTTGATAGTTACATTTTTTTGATGGTAAAGCAAGACGAACGGAATTTTGTGTTTGCACATAGGCTGATAAATCTCATGAGGCCGTTCGCGTGCCTTCATATCCTTGGAGCTAAGATGACTGATGCCTCGGAGTCCACCATAGCTGCTGATCTCCTATTTTGTCTTTCAGGTTTGCTTGTTGGTTTGCCACTGCATGCGCTAAACCTTCAATTGTCCCTGAATCATCACAGCAAACACCTGAATTAGAAGAACTGTAAAAGAAGTGCCCGATGTATACGCTCATCAGTCATCCTTCCAATGTAAGCGTGCGACATACATAATGAAACATAATAATTATATTTCATGGTTAACATGCACAAAATGTTCATTTATTAATTCCGTAGAATATTACGACCTCTTCCAATTTTATTTTCAAAGAAACGGTATAAAGCGATTTTAAGAATGTTTTTCCTTATGAGATTTTCATAAGACATCGTGTCATTAAATTTGCTTATGCGGCTCAAATCCACTACTTAATTTTATGAACTGCATATAGTCTCCTACTAATGCCGTCGAATAATGTACCGTTTTCCGTGCGCGAAAAATATATGGTTTGCAGATTTCAAACACGAAAAGCAATTTTAACAACACGGGTCAAAATTATTCGGAAATCAAATAGTTTTTAAATCCGAATTATACCCTTTTTGAGAATCAAATCGAAAGAAGACGTACTGTGCTATCGAAATACTAAAAATGGGTATTTTTTGCATGTTTACCATAACATAGAATAACATTTTTAATGCATCGAAAATCAATGAGAAAAAAACTACGCTACGGAAGTAGGCATTTTTTACAGAGTGTGGGTTTTGTATGTGACCGAAACGAAGTTCGTGCGTATCCCGGGGTAACTGAATTATTCTTTAATTATGTTGCACCACAAGCAAATTTACAGCTATACGTTAATAATCTTTTCGAAACGAAAACGCATTTCAGAACTTCAGTTAATATTTAATGAGTTAGCACACTATATATGTAGTGGGATATCTAGCTTATGGAATGGGCATAAATTAGCGAAGCATAATCAGCGAACCTGGAACCAGTCTAATCTCCTCCATCAAAGTACGCAATTAATATTAAACGGTTTTCAGAAAAATGAAGGCGTACCAGGATTATCACAAGTATCATTTCGTAGCCTCTAGACCATTATCTCAATAAACACGAAAATATTGAAAAATCAGAAATTTTTCCTTTGTGATCAGACTCGGATTTTAAAAGGATGCAATG